TTGATTAAACAAAAGACTTTGTCTAGCTGTGTTCCTACTGGGAAACCAACTTTGAACTGTTTACTTGAAGGTGAAAGAAATTAAATTTCTAACTCTGGGTGGTTGGAACTGTTTGCAACTGTAGAAATACTATGTGCTATAATTCATTTTTGAAACTCAACATTAAGAAAACTAAGATCATGGCATCAGGCCTCTCAATTCCTGGCAAATAGATGGGGAAGAAATGGAGGTAATGACAGATTTTATTTTCCTGGGCTCCAAGATTACCACAGATGGGGACTGCAACCAAGAAATTAAAAGATGCTTGCTCCTGGGCAGGGAAGCTATAGCACATCTAGACAGAATACTAAAACGCAGAGACATCACCCTGCCAACAAAAGTGCATATAGTCAAAGCTATGGTTTTCCCAGTTGCAATCTATGGCTGTGGAAGTTGGGCCATAAGGAAGGCTGAGGGCCAAAGAATTGAGGCCTTTGAACTCTGGTGCTGGAGAAGATTCCTGCGAGTTCCTTGGACTGCAAGGTGATCAAACCGGTCAGTCCTAGAGGAGATCAACCCTGGTTGCTCTTTACAAGGCCAGATCCTGAAGAGGAAACTCAAACACTTTGGCCACCAAATGAGGACTCACTGGAGAAGAGCCTAATGCTGGGAAAGATGGAGGGCAAAAGAAGGGGACGACAGAGAATGAAGTGGGTGGATGGAGTCACTGAAGCAATCAGCGTGAGCTTAAATGGGCTCTAGAGGATGGTAGCGGACAGGAAGGCCCAGAGGAACATTGTCTATGGAGCCGCAATTAACAACAACAACATTGTTCATTTTAGAGCAAAAGAAATATTTTATTCTTGTATCTGTATCAAAGAAAGTTGGAAGTTATTCTTTTCTACACCTTTCTTCTCCTTTTTTTTCTTACATTCCCAATGTTGGCTTCTTGACACCCACTTCTTATTTTATTTCATATTTTCTTGCATTTTAGCTTCTTTTGGAACTGAACAGTTTTTTGGGGAAAAGAAACCAAGTAGTAAATCCTTATCTTGAACACACCCAGAACTTACATGAGACTATTGTAATGCTTAATGATTATGTAATTCTGAATTTCTATACCTGGAGCCCAGGATGCTGGGACAGATAAGGAGAGAAGAAATTCTCAACTAAGTTAATTGTCTCTTCCATGGATAAGAGATACTTTTCACCTTTCTTTCAAGGTATTCATGGCTGAAAACAATATATCCACACACACCCCTTTAATTTTATCTTTCTAAGAATCCTCTGAGGGGAAAGGAGCTAAAAGGTTGCCTGGGTTTGTGTATTTGCTAAGTCAAGATTTGGTAATAATTACATTTGGGGAGGGGCCCGAGGGGGAGGTTTAAATCACATTGTCCCAGTTGGCATAATCTTCTAAGCTAAGTCTCACTCAAAGGTATCATGATTTTGCATGATTTGAATGTCAATTCTGGAAGTTGAAGTCCATCCCTCAAATATCTTTGAATATTCTCAGTTATCATAATTGTCTCAAAGGTGCTTTAAAAAAAAAAGGCAACTGGACTATATATTTTTTTAAAAACACACACAATCCAGTTGCCTTTTGAAAAAAAATAAAAAGCACCTTTGAGACATCCCTCTTAAAGTTTCTGGTGTTAAGAAACGGCCTAAAACTTCAAGAATTTGTCAGCTGGACTTTAAAAACCAGGCCTCTGGTTATCACAAGTGCTAGTGGGACAAATTCAAAGTTTATACTATGAGCAGGTTAAAAACGTTTTGCCACAAATCACCTTGCTTTTAAGTTTCACAAATGAATTTGAATATATATATATGTCCCAGGATAATATTGCAGGATACAATCTGGGTCGGTCACTGGGACTAGAGGTTTAGTCTTTAGAGGTTTTTGGATTTGTGATGGAGTCCATTCTCAGGGAACTTCTCTCTAGCAATACAATACAATATAATAGCTGAGTTGGAAGGGACCTTGGAGGTCTTCTAGTCCAACCCCTTGCCTAGGCAGGAAACCCTATACCATTTCAGACAAATGGCTATCCAACATCTTCTTAAAGATTTCCACTGTTGTGGCATTCACAACTTCTGGAGGCAACTTCTGTTCCACTGATTAATTGTTCTAACTGTCAGGAAATTTCTCCTCAGTTCTAAGTTGCTTCTCTCCTTGATTAGTTTTCACCCATTGCTTCTTGTTCTGCCCTCAGGTGCCTTGGAAAATAGTTTGACTCCCTCTTCTTTGTGACAACCCCTGAGATATTGGAACACTGCTATCATGTCTCCCCTAGTCCTTCTTTCTATTAAACTAGATATATACCCAGTTCCTGCAACCGTTCTTCATATGTTTTAGTCTCCAGTCCCCTAATCATCTTTGTTGCTCTTCTCTGCATTCTTTCTAGATTCTCCACATCTTTTCTACATAGTGGCGACCAAAACTGGATGCTGTATTCCAAGTGTGGCCTTACCGAGGCATTATAAAGTTGTATAAGCAGAATGTGTGCTTTGGCCTATTCTCTGTGTGGTATTTATATGGTGCCCGTTGTGTGTGGTTTTTAAGTTTCAGTTCACGATCTTTCTTTCTGCAGTGAGTGAAAAGTAAACCTTCTGTCTCCCTCCACATTACAGTTAGTTCTCAACTTACAACAGTTTGTTTAGTGGCCACTTAACATTACCACGGCACTGAAAAGTGTGGCTAATGACCATTTTTTTCACGGTTACAACCTTTGTAGCATCCCCATGATCAAAATTCAGGTGCTTGTCCTCATATTTATGACTGTTGCTGTGTCCCAAGGTCACAGGATCCTCTTTTTGTGAAACTTCTCACCAGAAAATGATGAAACCAGATTCACTTAACAACCGGGCTACTAACTTATCCACTGCAGTGATTCGTTTAACAACTGTGGCGAGGAAGACCGTAAAATGGAGCAAAATTCACTTAACCAATGTTTTCACTTAACATTAGCTCTGTTTGTTTATTTCTACAAGCGTTGTGTTATTAACATTTATCAGTTGGGGTGTCTCTGAAAAAAGCTACGGTATGAAGGATTTACTGTCCCGTCTGAGCTGCCTCTGTTTCCAGCTGTGGCTTGTGTACATATGAGTTGAGAAACACTTTTGTAAGATCAGGGCAAACAATGCCGCATGTTGGTGTGCAATCTTCACTTTAGTTCCCTGAATTAACTTCAAAGCCTCTGGCATGCACCTTTCTTTCTTTCTTTCTTTCTTTCTTTCTTTCTTTCTTTCTTTCTTTCTTTCTTTCTTTCTTTCTTTCTTTCTTTCTTTCTT